ATATATTTGCATTTTAGGGACGGGTCTACAGGGTATTCAGGGTCTTACTACTAGATTGGACTTGTAGTGATTCGCCTGTTTACAGTCTCCCAAGAGCTGGGATTGCAGGTGCATGCCACCACGCTCAGTCTCAATTACTGTCTCAGTGTGCCCTGGTGTGGGGCTAGCTCTGCAGGCCCAGGGATTGAATTACTGGCCCCTGCACCTGCTTGCAGATGCTTTAATCCACTGAGCTATTTGGCCATCCCTTTGCTCATATTTTTGTAGCACTGAATTCTGAGATGAGTTACTTCATAAAGAATATTTAACTTTTTTGACATGAAGGAGTAAAAATATATTATTGAGGCTACAGTTTGTGAGATTTGGAATTTAACTCTTGATATTAGGCAGGTAACTTAAAATGATTCTTGTATTCAAGTGCATAGAGAAAAATATAAAGATTTCAATCACATGAAAATTATTCAAGAATAAATGAAAATCCTCACACTGTAATAAATACAACAAATTTAGCCTCAAATGATTCTAAGATGCCATGTCTGTTAAGAGAAAAGTAACAATAAATATAGTGAAAAGAGCCTTTTTTGAACTTGACACTATATAACTGAATGAAAGAAAATAATTTGGATTGGGCTGACAAGATAGCTCAGTGGGCTGGTGAGGTAGCTCAGCAGTCTAAACACCTGCCTGGCAAAGTCAAGGACTGGGTTATGAGCCCTAGGACCACATGCCACCTCCCTGGACACACTGAGTGGGCCACTGAGACCAGGCATGGTGGTGCATACCTGTAATCCCATCACTAGGTGGCCGAAAACAGGAGGATCACTATGAGTCCAATCTACATAGTGAGACTTTGTATCAAATACATTAAAAAAAAAAAAAAAGAATTTGGATTGCGCTATATTACAAAAATTGAGAGCAATTTATTTATGTGATATTCTTTACAACATGCCCTCTAACAGGGAAATTAATTTTTAGGCTACAAAATGAGGCAATACGTGGCAATTTAGCAGACTTCACATGTGCTCTATCACCTCAAATTAACTATTTCATAAGATCATAGTAATAACTTGAAAGCTTTTCTTAAAACTTATTTATGATACATTCTGGAAGACAATATTTGCAAACATTGGAGTGCTCACTTATATCTATTATAGATTTTTAAAACAGCTGTCAAAATAGCTGTTCAATGAACTGTATCAGGAATGCTGTTGTTTGAAGAACTGATGTATGTATAAGCAGGAGTTGTTGCTCTATGCATTGTAGGGGAGAGATCCACATGTCAAAGAATGTAGTGTTTGTTATCAGAGAAAATAGTTATGGTTCTGTTAAATTGGAAATTGATACAGACTGCTTGTCTTAGTTACCTTTCTTCTTTTTAAATATATTTTTTAAATTTTTTTCCTTGAATTTTTTTTATTGGTACATTTTTTATATACATAGTGATAGCATGCTTCATAGGGGAATTGTACCTTGCTTCAAACAATAGTTACAAGCATTTTTTAAAGATTTATAATTTCTGAATTTAGTTCAACTTATAATACCACATTTCCAAGAAAAATGAACCTTTTGCAAAGACATTTAAATAAAATCATAACAAGATGCACAAAAATGAAATTGTCCAAAACTTCTTGTAAAGAAAAAAATCATTAA